CAGCTACCTACTTGAACTACTTCTTTTGATGGGAATTATTTCTGTGAGAGAAGCAAATGTTGTTTGTGCCTGAATATTGATAGTAATTCGTGAGTCGCTGCTGAGACGATGCTGTGGGGGGCTCGTGAGTTCTGTCTCATGAGACCAGTTTGTCACATGGTTTCAAAAGTGCTGTAATACTGGACACTCTCAAAACTTACATAGGTAGATAGTGTATTCATCTTATATCTCCATCTTTTTATGTGTCCCTCTCACTTTCTCCTGCTTCCACTGTCTCTCCACAGCCTAGACATATTCCAATACTGGGACTTTTGAATGAGTGTGGGTAATTCTCTTGCACAACCTGAAGTAACCTACCTATATTGTTTCCTCCAGTCCCTTGGCATCTTGTTGCCTGTTTTATTTCTTGTAATGAGGGAACGCTAACTACAAGACTAGGGGTCTGTGAGAGAAACTGTTCCTGTGTTAATGACCTTCTGCGCTCCCAGACTCAAAGTCAGTGTGCTTTCACTGTACTCAGCGTTGCAATAGAGTGCTTACTCCTTCTAAAATCCTCACAGCCTCTCTGGAGTTTGTAGTATTTAATATATTACTTTCCTTGATCTCTGGTCGCCTTCACTTATCTTGCAGACAGTTTCTTGTTTAAGTGGTGAATCACCAGTTGTTGGGGAAGAAATATATTTTTTCAAGATGAAAATCTAAAGGTTGTTTGAAGTCTTTTAGAGCAACTGAAAAAGAGTCAAGGGCAATTTAGTCTGTTAAACTCTAGGATTATTGATTCAAGGATGTCACTGAGCCAGCTTTTAAGCGCTCTTGTGAAATCAGCATGGCTTAATGATTTTGCTACATTTCTTTATTGAGAAGTGTCTCCTTCTTCTTTGCTTAGTCTCTTAGCTGGAGCAGTGCATACATTTGACCTTTACCTTCACCACAGTCTTTAAAGGAAGGATGGAAGGAAGTTGTATACGGTGCTTTTATCATGCTAGGGGTAACGAAATAACTCCAGATCTGACATGCAGAGCAATATTGTACATAACGAGTTTTTTTGTAAAAAAACAATCTTTACAATCTTGAAATGAGACGACTTGAAAAGGGTCTTCAAAATTGACTCATAAAATGGTTCAGGAGGCTTGATTAATTTAGGCAGGTCTGTTGCTGCCTTGGTGCCACTCTCCCCCATATTCAATCGTTCTCGGTGTTTTCTGCAGTGTTAAATCATCTCTCATGTAATGTGTACATAGTGTCCTTCAGTGCCCCACTCCGGTCCCCTGAGGAATCCCACACAAAAATACTGCATGGAGTGGACATCAATCTCCAGTAAGGGCGCGGTCCGTAATCTACTACAATGACACCCCTGTTGAAAATATCGGACCAGCTGACCTAGGGGATTACTGCATTCTCAGCAATTAAAAAAGATCCCAAAGGCACATGTGAAAAGAACAAGAAAGTATATTTTGGACTATGAACAATAAGCACTTCTTTGTGTCAAGTCATAGTTGTCTGGAACAAACCTTCCAGCCACGTTATTAAAACCATTTTTAACAGGTAAAGTCTGTTAAAGTCTTTAACGGGTATTCGGATTATTAGATCATCTGATCAGTAAGATGCCAACACCTGAATGAGCAAGCTGCATTAAACAGGCTTCCTTGTTTATGTACTGTAACTTCCCTTCAATCAAAAACACCTAAATCCTGCACAAGAATGACAACAGAAGCTCCCACATACGAAATAATCAGTGTCTGTGTAATAGCCTAAGGTGCTTCCATTTTGTTAAACTGCAGTAAAGGAGTTTGGGGTCCATTTACACATTCTTTACATTTGAAACTTTTGCACTATTGAAATGAATCTTTATAGCTGATGAAAATGAGGCCATAACAGATATTAAAAAAAATATGCAGTTACAGCAGAATTTTAGAGAGCAAAACGCACTTAATAACCCCCGCCCACGCATGTAACACACAAACACACACACATGTTCCATAATCCAATTTCTGGATACCACATCCTAGTTGCCAATGCAATAGTCACTTTCGGCCTTTGCTCTTATTTATTTATTGCTTTTAGTTTTCAAGATTTAGCCCCGCTGATCCTCAATATGTTTTCAATCGGACTGAGTGAGTCAAGCGAGGATCTGTGGCTAAAGCTCTAATGGGAAGCAGCCCTGCGGTTTCCCTGCCAGGTTAATACAGTGCTGAGAGGGGAGAGCAACTCAGGGCCTGGTCAGCCCACCTGAACCCAGCAAAAGCACAAGAACCAGCTGCATGTGCTGCTGATCCATCTTCCCACGCTTCGTGCTAGAAGACATCCTTTCAACAGCAGAGCCGGGACTCTCCAGCCGGTGCAATTGTGAACTGCAAAGGAGAGACGTAGCGTGGGGCAGGCCATATCAGATCTTGCTTCAGCTATTTATTGCTTTATGAAAACTGTCTGTTTTTCTTTTTTTCTGGGTTTTCTGGGATAAAAAATAGGATTGCACAACTTTCTTATAATAATGTTATGATTAGTTTCTTCCTTTTAAAAAAAAGTAGGGGGATTGTTCATGTTATGGTAGTTGACTGTTAGTTTCTGAGCAATAAATTTGCACATATCTCCAAGAATCACTAATCATCACTTCCCAGTCATAGTTGTTTTGAATAACATAAGCAATTTTACAAAGGAGACGAGGCCACTTGGCCAGTCTAGTGTTTAATTGATCTGTGAATCTCATTTAGCCATTTTCTGAAACAAGTTAGGGTATTGGCTTCAGCCATGTGGCTGGCTGTTTAGGGATGCATTTTCACAAAGTGGAAGCAGAAACAAATACACGCAGTGCATGGTTTTTCGCCATGCTCTCTAACATATACAGTATGAGTTTGAAACATACTGTACAGTGTTTGACAAATCTGGCTTTTTATTAACAGATAGCCATTGTCATATTGGGCTTTACAGCTGCAATATTGGAAAGCAGTGAAAAAAAAGCATGCAAGTCATGTCTAGGAACTCTTCAAACAAATATATCTAAAAACCTTTTGGCATGTACTGCGCTTTTAACAGTAAAGTACAGAAGTGAGAGTAGTTAATAAAAAGCTTCTTCCTTAAGGTTTGCTAGAGGAAGAATGATTTTCACAGGTGCAAGTTAACTAGGTTTCACAAATCTCCTTCTCTTTGTTCCTTAAAATTGCATTTCTAATGGGATGAACCAACAACCAGGCCAGGATTAAAATGTAGTTCCAAAACTTCAGTGTAAATTTAATGCAATTGATTACTTTAGGCAACATGCCTATCTGTTACCATGTCATTAGTCAGATAACACTTAAAATGGAAACCACACCTGAACTGGCAGAATTAAAGAATCACGGAGAAGAAGTACATATGAATCAACTTCAGTACTGCCTCTGTGTGCTGCAGACTCAGAAATACTGTAAATGGGTCCCAATACAAACAAAGGTTAAATTGTAGTCTGCTTCATAATTATGAAGGTCTATGCAAAAAAACGCTAAGTGCAGAAAGAGATAAGTTTAGGGATATCTGGAGCAGCCTTAAGAAGAAAGACTGAACCTGGTCTGTGGAGTTGCAATTTCCGAAGCTTCTTGGGATTTTAAAGGTCACGATCACTGCAATGGATTTAATCAAAAATGTCTCTGGTTTAACAAACAGCCTGCTTGTCAGGGCTTCTGTTGCTTGTGCGTGTGTGTACTCCATGAGTGTTCAAATGTCAAAATGTGTCATGTTTTTAAAACAGTTTTGAAAGTTAATTCTGTTTGGGTGCTTTTACACGTTAAGAATATTAACACTTCTTATTCATGTTTTTTGTATTTCAGTTATTTTTCTGTTGTGCATTTATAGACGTTTAACATCATGAATCTGTACAGAAACAATTCCATATGTCCATGACAACTGCGAAGATTAGGATCAGAAACAATAGCAAAGCCCTGTGTACACATCCTTCCTGCTGTTCACTTTATAGCTTTGCTTCTTCTGCCTTCTTTAATGGGACAGATTTGTTGTTTTTTATGATCCCTTGTTTTATCAAAAATCCTCTGCAGAGGCTCTTTGAGAGAAAAGCATGTTTGTTGTCAAGTCAGCCATCTGCCCGATGCTTCCTTCATTCCTTTTCCCATTGTTTTTTCCTTGGAGTGTGTGTTTGTGTGTGTCTGCGTAGGAGTATTGGCATTCCTCATAAACAACAGCTGCGCAGGATTTTATGAACCTGCTCCAGTTCATTTTCCTAATATGCCGGCAGCGCCAAACCCGACTGCCTTGTACCTGTTGCCTGATGCTCACCATGAGGTTGCAATAGCGCGTCAACTTCTTGTTTTTCCGTGTCTCGTGCGTTTGTGTAGAATTTGAGAGGTTTTGGCATGACAGTCTGAAACCGCAGGTGGCGTTTCCCATCCATTTATTATGCCGTAAAACCCTGCGAAGAGGATGTTATCAAAGGTTAATGGAACAATGATGAGCCCAGGCACAGAGGTAGGGACTCTTTAGCCAAAACAGAGTAATTTTTATTAATTCCAGATATGTGAGGGTGTTGCTGTCATCATGTGTCAATGAAGAACACGTTGACGTCATTTCTGATTATCTTGGATGTTTTGGGACGAGGCGCTTTCTTTACTCATTTTGTCCTCTTTTAACTTTATTTCGAAGGGCTGCATTTCCATCCCCTCTCCCTTTCGTTCTGTGTGCTTTTTTCTTCTGCCCATTACCAGAAAACCTCTTATTTCTGGTAAGGGTTGTGGCATCTCGGAAAACCCCAGTGTTTTCCTCCTAGATGTTGACCAGGGAATGGTTATGCCTGATTATTGCTAATGAGAGCAAGTCTGCTGGCAGTGCAGTGCTAGGTGTATTGGTCAGTTCATGCCCTCACCCTGGGCAGTGCACAGGGGTTTGTAGGCAGAGGGATGGTGATGTAGAGTTCATGAAGTTCAGACATCTGAAAAATTAATTTTGCTCTTCCAGCACCACCGAGATACCTGTAAGACCAAATGAGATCAAATCAGATCATGTTTTTCTTTCTGCAGGCACGTTTGTAGAGGTTAAGACCAGTCACGTTTTATCAGGTATGGAGATGTTTGTTTTATATTTCTTCATTGTAGTGCTTCATACTTACTAGATTCATATTTTAAGGAGGTGAATTAAGTAACTCTTTAAGATGTGTAGGTTTGATAGCAAAGGCAATAAACTAGTGCAAAAATATGCCCAGAAACCCATAATCTCTGTCTGCTATTTACTGCACTGTACCTCACAGAACAGCTGTTTTTTTATCATTACATGTGGCACGCATAACCACAAGGAGGCGCCAAATTCCTGTCCTTCTTTAGGACTTGACATCCTTTTTTTGATCTGAGAACAGAAACCAAAATATATAAATATATCTATATGGGTCTGTCTCTGCCCTGCTGTGATTACAGAGTGGTTTACCGGCGCCGGAGTGGAGAGAGGCAAGGCAGAGGAGGGAGATAGAGAAACAGAAAAAAATGAGAGAGAGAGAGGGAGAGAGAGAGGACACTTTCGTCTCTGAACTGCAGTGCCTCATCAGTTGTTGAGTCCCACATTTCCATGGCAACATCAGAACAGCACTGAGAGGGAGAGAGAGAGGGAAGGAACCGGACAGGATCCCTTTTAAAGTCAGAACGGAGAGAAGAAGAGGAGAGAAAGACAGAGGAGGAGAGAGGCAGTGAAGGAGCGCTGGCTGGGAGGTTCTGAAAATGGGTCTATGTACTGTGCTGCTGATCTGCCTCTCCCAGGCTGAGTTCATGAGAGTTTGGGCACAGGAGCAAACAGGTAAGACTCCTTTTTCAGCCACAGATGCAAAATCAAACATTGCCCTCATTTTCTCTGGTTGCTGCCTAGTCCCATTCAGAGCTTTTTCCATGAGACAGAATCTTGACTTTTGCACTAAGCATGTGGGTTGCTAGAAAACTGTCATTATTTTACATTACACCTTTATTTAGTACTTCAATGTTTCATGTTTTTTCCTTATTTCTGTAATGTATTTTGTTTAATTCATTTTCCTTTTTGAAACATTATCCTTGGCCTGATTTAATCACAGGAACATGAGAAAGGTGACTTTTGTTATCACCCCTGGCGGATGTTAAGCAGAGGTGGTTACATGCAAATAAAGTTCACCCAGAGGATTCACAGATCTTTTGCCCTTGACCCCAATGACTGCTGAATAACAGGACCCCTCAGGCTGCAGACAGCTTTCTTTGTACTATCTTTGTTGCACCTGTTACCGTAATTGTTGTGTTTTTGTTATTGTTCTCTGAATTGGGCATTTTGTGGGAAGTGTAGCAGTTCTGTGTTTTCCGCCTAATAGCACACCGATATTCAGTGAAAGACTGTGAAATCTATAAGCCAGAAAGATGCAAAATGAATAAGAAATAATTTAGGGTGCTGTTGTTTTATTTTGGGGGGAGGGGTTGGTGTTGATGAGAGGACTTTCTGTCTTATTCTATGAGACTTCTGTATCACCGCAGATTGACTAAGGTTTTATAGGATCTGTGTTTGCTGTATTCAGTTTACCTTCTTCTTGAACTCCTGCATTCTCTTAGGAAGTTATGGCCTGAGCAAATGATTTATATAGGCAGCAACGCAAATCAAAGTGAATATCACAGCTGAAGCTGTGTCAACTATCACAGTTATTGACCTTTTTATCTTCTGCTTATCACTGGAACTGCAGGCTAAAGTCATTTTGCAGAAACCGATATATAGTTCCAACATGGTTTCCAAAAAGCACAACATATAGTTAGTTCTTTCATTGTTTATTTTATTATTTTCTCTTTTTGAACAAAATTTTGAGCCTCCGATGGATATTCCAGTCTGGTTGCCTCTGTTATAGCTCCATGTTAACCAGATGTGTTTTCTCCAAAGAAAAGGGCATTACCGATCAAGAACTATGAAACAAAACCAGCAGTGCTTAAATTTGAGCTAGAAGACACTGTATTACTGAGGAGGGTCTGTATTAGTGCCCTTTTTCCAAAGTCAACACCCTGGCTTCTTTCAAAAAACAGCTGGATGATATCCTCTAACTCTTTTCTAGTAGCAGTCGATTAAACTAGATTGGTAGAAGGGCCTCCTCTTGTTTTCAGTCTTTGTTTGTTTTTATGTTCACTCATTGTAACTCTTCTCTCCCATGTGTGGGGACTCCATGGCACTGCTGATAAATAGCACAGCTTATATTTAAACCAAAACGTCTTTTAGTGCATATTTCACACTGTGGGATGAGGCTTGTACAACACTGGCCAGGAAAAGGGCCCTGTCTTGTTGTCTGGTAACTGACTTGAAGAGCATTGATTTTAAAACTTATATAAAATACAATTTTCAAATGTCAATAAGCTGTTCTTAAAGATGGTTCATGAGTACACCAATTCCTTATACAAAGAATAATAATAAGTGTTTTCCAAGAACTCATTGGGCAGTACCAAAAAAAACACCTAACAGACATAAAAAATAAACAGCCTGTTAAACAAAACCAACTAAAAAAGAAAGAAAAAACACAAATATTATTTAAAGAATATTTAAAATAATGAATATTAAGATAAGATCTAGTGGGTTTTATGTGTGAAAATGTTTATCATAAGTAGTTCCTTCTTGTAAAAATAACATATTATGGCTGCATAATCAAAGAGTGTAGGCATACTGTATACTGTAAATGCACATCAGATAGTGATGTCTATGGAGGTGGCGTAGATTAAATGAAGATGTTGAGACTTGACATCATGGAGCAGTTAAGTCTTGTAATTTCATCTTGTTGCTGATGTTGTGACCTAGATCATGTTCTCTCAATTCCTTTTTTTTAAACTTCTGCAGAGGAGCGACCTAATTATCTTCAGCACAAAAAACAAGGATTTAACGCTTTTATGGCTCGGAGAGGTCGGTCTAGTAGAGCTGATACATTGGCTTTAGGTGCTGAAGGACATCTCAGTGCTGCCAGCCTTAAAACAAATCCGCTGCCTGCTGCACTGAATCTGAACACAATGTGCTTAATGTTTTTTTTAATTAAAGACCTATTAATTTTAGGAGGGAGTAAACGTTAGTGTGACATCATTCAAGGGTTTGGTCACTGAGCTGGGTCAAGCAGAGCACGGTGTATGTTATATTTAAGTTGTGTTTGCTCTTATGATGTTCTTTAAGTTCTATTTGATCACATTGATGTTCTGTTGCTTAGTAGTAATAGTTATAATAATAATAATTGCTTACACTTATATAGCGCTTTTCTGGACACTCCACTCAAAGCACTTTTACAGGTAATGGGGATCCCCTCCACCACCAGTGTGCAGCCCCACCTGGATGATGCGATGGCAGCCATAGTGCGCCAGGACGCTCACCACACACCAGCTCTCAGTGGGGAGGAGAGCAGAGTAATAAAGCCAGTTCAGAGATGGGGATTAATGGGAGGCCATGATGGGTAAGGGCCAATGGGAAATTTGGCCAGGACACTGGGGTTACACCCCTACTCTTTTCGAGAAACGCCCTGGGATTTTTAATGACCACAGAGAGTCAGAACCTCGGATTTACTTCTCATCTCAAGGATGGCACCTGTTTACAGTATGGTGTCCCTGTCACTATACTGGGGCATTAGGACCCACATAGACTGCAGGGTGAGCGTCCCCTGCTGGCCCCACTAACACCTCTTCCAGCAGCAACCTTAGTTTTTCCCAGGAGACTCCCATCCAGGTACTGGCCAGGCTCACACCTGCTGAGCTTCAGTGGGCTGCCAGCTGTGAGTTGCAGGGTGATATGGCTGCTGGCATTAGTCTTTTTATGCCTTTAAACTCAGCAGTGCTCAGAGGTTCATGCTCTGTTAATCAGACATCTTCTTATATAAGAAGATATCACATGCTTGGTTCTAATTGCATACTTACTGTCTGTACTTCGTGAAAAGAATTAACTTACGTACTTACTTGTTTTCAAATGTTCTGTGGCTAGCAAGACCATGTAATTATCTGTCTGACACTACTTTTACTGCTACCAAAGTAAATAAAAACTTCTATTAAAGTAAGTAAGATCAAGATCTTAATTATATGCAATTAGTTTTGAGATCAACAGAGCACACAATATGGTTATATTGATTCTTTAATTGCTAGGCTCTGATCAGTGCATTTTTATATTTATATTTATAATAAAAAAAACAACAAACATTGGCATATAATGTACTTTGATTTGATACATTTCCAAACAAATGATATGTTCAACCACAGCTATAACTGCCTGAATCATCATCACACCAGAAGCTGAAAAAATACTGAGTTAATAAATATAAATATGTAATATATAAATATATAATACAAATAATATAATTGGTTTCAAGCAATAGCCTAATGGACTTCCTGAAGCTGTATGTTCTCTGATAGATGCTGTTACATTAAAACCACTTTGCGAGGAATGAGAGCAGTTGAGGGTTGTGTGAAAGTAGAAAATGTATTGAGTTTCATGAACACTTGGCTTAACCTATTTGGTTGAGGGCCGCCCTCTCGGCCATAGGCCAGAGAGGCTAGGACCCCCAAGCCCAGTGGAGACAGGGTGGAGGAGGGAGTGATGTGTGGTACTGTACTGTATATATGGGAATCTGAGAAATTACATCAGGCTTAATTGTGGCTTGTGGCAGCTGAGCTTAATTAGTCTGGCTGCCCTTGTCCCTCCCAAACTTTCGTTAGAACTCCATTTAAAAAATGTTGAGTTATAAAAATAATAGAATTGGTTTCAAGCAATAGCCTAATGGACTTGAAGCTGTATGTTTTCTGATACATGCTGATAACCCCAAAACCTTTAAAGTCATGCGAAGATGCAGAATATTATTTACTGAGCAGACATCCTTATCCAGAGCCACCTGCAATGTATGTATGTATGTATGAAGTTTACATTAGGTAAACAAATATCATTCATGTAAGCACAATAATATAACTTAACAAAATGACAATAAGGTCTAAACAGCATGAAAGTACAATGGTGCAGAGTGGTGTAAGTGCTGTGCTGGGCAAAATTAAATGCTAAATTAAAACATTATACAGAAATGAATACAATGCAGTAATGAAAACAGCCTGAGGGAAAGTGTTCCTTAACACTAAAAAAAAAACACTTTGAGAGTTTTGAACATTAATGCAGTATGATTTAAGAGCTACTGAAGAGTGGAACCGAGGGCTGGGAGATCACAGGTGTTATCAGGGGCTGAGAACTTCTTATTTTTGTAGGTAGTTCTTTCCAATGACCAGTCTTCGTTTATTGGGAGAAAGGAGTGGAGGAATAGAAGGTCTGGTGGAAGAGAAGTAGGAGTCCCAAGAGGAAAATGTGTTGGGAATAGGAGAGGGAGAGGGAGAGAGGGGTCAATTGTGACACCAAGGTTTGGGGCAGAGGAGTAGGGGAAGACATGAGGTGGTGAGGTCTGCAGTGGAGGAGAAGAAAAGGAAGCCATGCATTGAGGGGTTTAGTTGAAGATAGTGGGAGTGCATGCTGGAGAGGTTGTATGTGAGACAAGCTGAGAGACAGGGGTGAAATAATCATCAGAAGGAGGAGGAATAGGAACATTTGAGCATCACCAGCATGAAATGCAATCTGAAGAAATGAGAGGACCATAGGAGCAGGCGTAGAAAGAAAACAGAAAACAGGGACCCAGCTCTGTGGGACACCAGCTGAAAGAGAATAAAATTATCTTTAAGGGCTGCAATGCAAGGTATCAACTTATGCAGCTATTCTATAGGATCAATGTTAAAAAGGCTTTGCCTTTTTATGCTTATTAATCTTGGTTATATTTTGTTAAAACTCTTTATTGAGATTTGTCAAAG